CCCATCTGCAGTACTTCTTGGGAAGGAAGCTGTTTATACCTGTTCGGCACTAGGGCCCTGCGTTAAGATTGAGGCCACATTCTCATGGTACTATCATCGGAAAGGATATAGAACAACTGAGTGGAGTCAACAGCACAGCAACGGCAGCTGGATTTATGGGTCCAACTTCACCTTCACACCCTCCCTAGATGATCAGGACAAATCGATCACCTGCTGGGTCCGTTACCCTCTTAACTGGGTTAAGAACACCATCTCCGTTGATATCGCTGGTGAGTAGCTGCCTTCACTTTATACTGACTTCCTTCCCCCAGGGACTGTCACCATCTCCCCTTTCCTTTTACCTTGGGTTCCCCTTCAGATGTTCTTACCACGCTCTTGGTTATTTCAGATCCACCCAAGACTGTCGAAATCTCCACAAATGCTACAGATCGCAGTCATCTTGGTGAGATACAAAGTCTAAAAAACACTGGAGTGTCCTTACTTATCACTCCCCCCCCTCCCGCCCCCGTGCCAAAGACTTAACAATTCCCAGGTCTTGTCAAGACACCATTAGGAATTCATTGGCCAGCTAACCCCTACCCAAGTGTCTCAAAGTCACAAGTGTACAGTTGGAAAGTCAGAATGGAGCTGACCAGCAGAGGAGGATGTTTCAGTCAGCTTACATAGGGAGAGGGACCACCTAGGCTAAGGGCAACCATTTTGTCCACTACAGCAGCCGTTCCAAGCACACACAGTCCCAAATCCACAAAAGCTGTCATTGTTCCCAATGCATTCACTTTGGGGTTTGAGATACTTCAAGTTCATATGCTGAAACTCAAGATGTAGGCATGGTTCACAAATGAAGAAGAGAGAGGCAGCCAAGTTTGAGATGGAGTAGGGAAATTCCTGGACATTTGTGGGTGGGGCCTGGGAAGAGAGGGGAGGACCTCAGTGGGATGCAATACCATAGAGTACACCCTCCAAACCTGCCATGTCCTCCAGGGGAAGTGAACTCTGTGGTCTGGGGATCAGCTGTAATTCTGGGAGAACCCCAGTCCCCACCTGGAGGCTGGCAACCCTAGATCTCAGGTGGTAGAATGGACAGCACCACTTCAGACTCGGGGGGGGATGTGTGTGTAGATTCTAGCATTCAGTGTTCCTTTGCATTAAAATAAGAAATCTTCTATGCAAAGAGAAAATTAGTATACCCCAGGAAAAAAGTTCTGCCTCCTGTTTCTGTGCTTGCTTTGCTGGTTTCCTGCTTGCGGGGAATTTTTAATATGGGGAGGCATTTCAAAACATGCTCCTCCCCCCTCAGCCTGACATGGCACATCCCATTCTTCTACAGGGGTATTTTACTGGCTTGTTTTCCTCTTCATCCTCCTGCATGCATGAAGCAGGCCTTAGAATGAGGAAACCTTGTGCCAGATTCTGTCTTGGCTGCCGTCTTCTTAGTGCAAACCTAAGCGGAGCCACACATTCCTAAATCTCTTAAAGCTCTTAAATTCAAATGTTTGATTATTGTATTTTATGTCTGATTAAACTCTACGCTGGTCTAAAGACTGTAATAAACAAACAAACAAATATTCCTAAATCAACTGAAATCAGCAGACGTAGGGTGCCCAACCTCTGGGTGGGCCTGAAGATCTCCCAGAATTACAATGGATCGTCAGGCAACAGAGATCAGCTCCCCTGCAGGAAATGGCAGCTTTGGAGGGTAAACCCCATGACAACATATCCCCTCTGACTTCTCTCCCTCCCCACCCCAAACTCCTCCTTCCCCAGGTCTTGGATTCCAAATCTCCAAGAATGTCCTAACCCGATTTGGCAATCCTGTGTCAGTGATGGGAACCACAGGCCAATCCTCTCTAACCCAGACCCTTTCCTCTTTCAGCTTTGTGCTCACCGGAAGCCGAGGGGGGTCCAGATCCAGTGGTGGTCCAAGAAGGTGAAAGCATCAGCCTGAGCTGTAATGCAGAGAGCAGACCCCAACCCACCCTGAGCTGGAGGAAGGGGAACGAGACCCTGAAGAGCACCAGGCAGGGCAAGGAGTGCGTTCTCTTGCTATCCAATGTCAGACCCGAGGATGCCGGGGAGTACCAGTGCTGGGCAGAGACTCCAGAAGGCTCAGCCAATAAGACCCTGCGGCTGTGTGTGCTGTGTAAGAATTGAGGGTTTTGGGGAAAGGACGGGCAGGCTGTACCGGAGGGTATTCATCATAGATTGAGAGCCTTGACCTGCAAAAGCATCAGCAACCATGCCTATTTGTTTTTTTTAAAAGTAGGTAACAGAGACCTTCTTTTCCCAAGCACAAATGCCACTGTTAGAACCTCTGGAACTCTGCACAGCTGTGCACCTAAGCACGACAATAGAGAGGCTTGGATGCTGCCAGAAACCTCAGCAGACAGAAGGATTTCCCTCAACGCAGCCTAACTTCTCCATCTCCCCTTCCTCCTGGGGCAGCCCAATATATCCCCCAAATGTGGTTCTGGGGGGAACAGTGGGCCCCCAAAACAGCATGGAGGAAGCTGGAGTTTTGCCACAGGAAGGGGGGAACTGGGGGAAATGGGCTGTCATGGAAATGAGTAGTAGGATGCAACCCAGTGAATAAGGCAGAACTCATCATCTTGACCACGACTTCAGGAGTCATGTGACAATCTTATACTTCAAAGAACTTCCTGTGAGGCTAGTTTATTATAGCATAAATATGTTCCCATGTAGTGAGAGCATAGATATGAGGCCCTGAAAGTTCTGTGTGAAATCTGGGTGGTCAACCATGTTTGTCTGAAGCAGTAGAGCAAATCTAGAGTCCGGTGGCACCTTTAAGACCAACAAAGTTTTATTCAGGGTACGAGCTTTCATGTACATGCACACTTTTTCAAATACATTTGAATGGTAGGTAGGGTTCAAACTTATAGACAGGGAAATTGACATGCCTGGGAGGAGAGAATGGGGATTCTCAGTTTGCTTCCCACAATTAGAAAAGACACCTTTCGATATTTATCTGCTATTTTGACATATTTATTGCTTTACAGCTGTTGACCTCATAACCTTAGCTTGTTATTTTTGACTTTGAGTACCTTAAACACCATCATGTTACATGTTAATTTCTGTATATATAAGTTTGAACCTTACCTTCCATTCCAGTGTATTTGAAAAAGTGTGCACACACATGAAAGCTCATACCTTGAATAAACCTTTGTCGGCCTTAAAGGTGCCACACTGGATTCTAAATGTGTGAAATCAGTCATCATTCCTCTCTTTCCTCACACGAGGCCACATTTATGCAACCTTGGATCAAAGTAGACTGATGGGGCTTTGTGATCTCTCGGCAAAAGAACAAAAGAGTGGGGATGGGGTCGGGGAGGCTAGCCATTGCTATTCCCAGGGCTTTTTTGGTAGGAAAAGCCCAGAAGGAACTCATTAGCACAACAGGCCACACCCAACAGCAGAAACTCATTAGCATATTAGGCCACACCCCCTCTGATTGGGCCGGCTAGGATCCTACTGGCCCATTATCTTTAGGCCTGAAGCTTGAGGTTTTGTCAGGGCTGGATACACTACAGCAACCTTGGATCAAAGTAAACTGATGGGGCTTTGTGATCTCTCGACAAAGGAACAAAAGAGTGGGGATGGGGTTGGGGGGAGCCATTGCTATTCCCAGTATCTCTGGGAATCGATGTTCACATACAATGTGAGGGGAATCTTTAGAACAGAAGTATAGGGGAGCCAAGAGCCAATATTGGATTCCCAGCATCTCTGGGAATCGATGTTCACATACAGTGTGAGGGGAATCTTTAGAACAGAAGGTATAGGGGAGCCAAGAGCCAATATTGGATTAGGAAAGGAGGAACTTAAGTTTAAATCTTACTCAATGACCTTGGGCCAGTCTCTTTCTCTCTGTGTCTGTCTGTCTGTCTCTCTCTCTGCATAACCTTCCTCACAGGGCTATTGTGAAGCTAAGATGGAGAAAGAGTGGACCACACATAGTGCTCAGAGCTCACTGGAGGCTGGGTGGGATACAAATTCAATAAACAGATGAGCCGTCTCTCCTCCCCACAATCCATCATTGATTCAAGCACTTTTCTCCCAGCCTGGCTCCTGAGAGAACAACTGCCCACCAGAGCCGAGCACTGACTCATGCCTTCTTTAGAGGGAGGGCAAGAAGGGGTGGCTCAGTGCTTGGCTCTCGTGGCCCTTTCTTACATGCCCAGAGTGATGCCGATCGCCACTTTGGGGTCAGGAAGGAATTTTCCTCCAGGACAGATGGGTCCAGGGAACCTGGAGGTTTTTTTGTTTTCCTCCGGGCATATAGCAGGAGTCTCTGGGGGAGGGGGGGAGGGAGGTGTGAATTTCCTGCATTGTGCAGGGGGTTGGACTAGATGACCCTGGATGTCCCCGCCAGTTCTATGTTTCTACCTCAGAGTGCCCCTAGACAGGGGGAAAGGAGCAGCGACCCAGAGACAGCCGAGACTTTCTTTTCACATCCAGCCCAAAGCTTGGGTTACTTGGTGCCCTGTAAAGACGTCCTTTGTCACTTTTTGCTCAGTAGTTCCTCTTCCATTCCTTAGATATGCTACTATTGCAACATACAGGGGGCCCATGACTCCTCAGCATATCAGCAGGGCTGAAGAGCAGACACTTTGATAGCTGGTCTGGTATCCTAAGACTCCTTCTTCCTCTTCCTCCTCCTCCTCTTCTCCCTCTTCTTCTCCTCCTCCTCCCTCCTTCCTCCTTCTTCTCTTCCTCTTCCTCTTCCTCCTCCTCTTCTCCCTCTTCTTCTCCTCCTCCTCCCTCCTTCCTCCTCCTCCTTCTGCATGTTCTTGCTCCTCATGATATAAGTAATAAAATAAAAATCCATCAACACTCATTGAAATGCCCTGACCTGGATAACCCAGGCAAGCCCAATCTCGTCAGATCTCAGAAGCTAAGCAGGGTCGATTCTGGCAAGTACTTGGATGGGAGACCTCCAAGGAATACCAGAGCTGGGAGGCGGGGGCATGCTTCATTCAGCCACCTCTCTGAATATCCTCCAGGCCCCCAGTAGGGGTCAGTCACCAGAGGTTGCCATGACGTCCAGGTGCACACATGCACAAATGAAAAATACAAAACAAAACGAAAAAGAGAACACCCATTGAAATAACGTTCACAAGCTGGATAGGCGCTGAAAAAATTGCACAGCGGTTAACTTTCAAAAATGATTGCAACTGGGGAGCAGGATCTGGATCTTCCTAGAAAGCAGGAAACAAATGCCCACAGCCTTGAACCCGGTCTGAACACTACTGTGAGACAATATTACAGCGCCAAAACAGAGTGTTACGAAACTTCTATGTGCATTGCAAATATCAGGCAAGGGGGAAAGGATATCTTGGCGAGTCCTTGCTGACCCTAAATCCCCAGGAGAGTGTAAGGATGCCCTCGCTCACAGGCAAGCATGCACCACAATGTTCATCACTAGACAGGCTCTTCTCTCATTCCATGTCAATGTGTCTGTTCCAGATCCACCCAGGACAGTGACGATCAGTGTCTCCCAAGCTTATAGGAGAGGCCGAGCACTAATCCAAGGTATCCGGGAGCAATTAGGGTGCAGAGAACAACCTATGGGGACCTTTCTCTGCTGGAGGATGCTGGTTCCGAGGGGCTGCTACTCTTTCACAGGGTGACCGGCCACCTTTGCTGTGTTCGCAGATCCCCACACACATGTGGCAAATGGCTCCCAGCTGACGGCTCAGGAAGGCGACTCGTTACAGCTACTCTGCACGGCCCAAAGCATCCCTCCCTCTGAGACGCGTTGGGTCAAGGGGAGCAGGACTTTGGAGCACCACGGCCCCTCTCCAGACACCTGGCTGGAATTGACCAATTTAACAGTCAAGGATGTGGGCCAATATGCATGCCAGGT